CTGTTTACCTCGACTTCGTCAATGTTTTATCTTCGGAAAAAAACAAAACTATTGAGCCGCTCTGTCGAGCGTCATCTTTTTCAATAATATTACTTATTCTTGTATAAATATTCAATATCTATTTCTATAATAAACAAATTATTTTTAACACCAATCATCTGTGTTGTTATAATCATATATGTTGTGTCTTGATCTCATGACCTCCGCCATATAGACTATAGTTGGACTATCGCATATTCGCATACATCAGATAGTGGCGTAACTGGCGGGTGTCCAGAGACGGGGGGGCACACGCCTGGGGGGGGGCAAAAATGACCATAACATTTTTGCTAGTACTTTGGGCAAGTTGCCCTGAGCCCCACTTATAGAGTGAGGGCCCGAAACTTCGCAACGGGTGGTCCCCAAAAGCAGGAACTGGTGAAATTTGGACTCCTTATTTTAGTAGCCATGGATGGGAAAGAATTTTTGTGACTTTTAATTTTTAATTTTGTGACTTTTAATGAATATGGTACTGACAGCAGATGGTTATATCATAGACTTTAGAAGAAGATAAATCATGTTATTAATATTAGCTCTTTTCATTATGTCTTCAGTCTTGTATTTGAGGGCAAATAAATAAAAAAGTGTCATCTTCACCACCATTAATAATTGCTGCCCTGCATGTAACACTGAAGTCCACTTATTAGCACCACTGTTCATTTGAGATTCTATGTATATTTTCTGTACTTTTTCGAGGGTTTTTCTGTGTAAGGCTAAGTGTACAGTGAAATAAAGATTGATGGTTGATATATGTTCTCAGGCATGAATCAGATGTATCCGGCCAGGATTTATTAGTCAAAATAATATTAAGGTAATTCCGCAGTAATTGTCACCGAACTCGTTAAGAAGATATGACAATCACAATATACCACCTTTACCCCAATATGGCGCCATCTTGACGCTCATTACGAGTAACAGCAAAGTCACAACAGCCCGATATTTATTGACGTTTTTAGCTCGGATTTTACTTTAGTAAACCCATCTTGTAATTATTTTTGAAAAAATATTGTGTTTTGAGCAAAATGAAACTACTAACATGTACAATTCGGCAAAAATGTCTTTTCCACATTTCTTTACATATCTTTCTTTGAGAGCATGCATTGATAAAGGATTTTTTTCAAGATCCATAAATTATTTTTCTTTTAATTTCGGATATGAAATGTAAAATGCATTAAAGAAATAAATTATCAGTTAAAAAACGGGGGTCACCGATCTTTTTAGGGAATTGTGGCATTAAAACGTGAAATGCAAGTAAATAAATATACTACAGACACAGAACCCTAGCTACACTTTTGTATGCCTTTTTTGAAAACATTGAATTTAACGTAATTCTTTGCACGAATGTAACCAAAGATGTTTTGAAGTAACATAAAATTGTCATAAAATGATTTTTTTTAAACGGTATAACGTATAATGGCCGATGAAATTATAAGTAATAAGATGTGCGCAGTAAAAGTACGCAATGCAAAACTGCGGAAGACTTTATTTAATGATGTTATCATACATTACTGGTTTCCCAGTAATTTTCATTATGGACCTCCTATATCTATGATAAATAAGTACAAGTTGGAATAAATCTATACTAATATGTAACGTCTACTAAAATGTTCTAGTTTAGCGTTCTGCAATAGACGCTCTTGTCTATTGAGATCGTGTCTCGGATAAAGACATTCAAATTGTTCCAGAGGCGAGTAGCATGTTACAAGTAGGCATTGCAACGTTTCTTACGTTGCAGTGCCTATATATACTTGCTTCAAATGTTGGTTACCATAAACATAAGATTGATTGGAAAGATTGATTTCCTGTACCCAGGCATCGCGTCCGGTACTCAGGAGAACGTCCAACCAATCAATATAATCAATTAAACCAAGACACTCCCCCATGAAAATACAAAGACAAAGTTCACTCGTACTCGGTAAAACTCGCTTAAGCGAAATCGAATCGCACTCGAAACAACGCGAAAATAACTAATTGTTGAAGAGTTTTGTAAATGGAAATTTCTAGTGTAAATTTTTATACATTTATTAGATCTATTAAGTATAGGCATATGAAAAACTGATCGAGTTAACCAATCCAATACTCTCCCGAAGGCAGTTTCCTTCACGCGTGCATGCGCACATTGGTTTTATGTTTTTCAATTTTGTTTGACAGTTTATGCGTGCATTCGCAAGACCATATTATAGCAGTGTTTTAGTAACAGTGCGTCAACATAAAAAAATTAGTGCGTCAAAATAAAAAACTGAAACAAAAAATGAAACAATCAAGTAACAAGACATTCAAGTCCAACATCTTATAGATTGTCAGTACGGTATACTCCAGTTACGTTGCCATTTATCGTCACTCGACCATACCAGCTACTACTTGTCACTATTGTACGGTTTTATTTGGCGGAAATAACAACATGTACTCTACATATATATAGCCGACTGACATGTGCATGCAACTGTGAGTGGAATGACCGGACCTAAACTGACTTGATGGTTTTTTCAGTCTATCGAAAGTTAGACATTCCGATATTTCTTATAAGCACTACTTTTTATTTTGAGATTCTATTTTATAATATAACATAAGCTCTATTTTTTCAGTTTTCTTTACTACATTAGTTCTTTCATTATCAAACTTAATTAAATGCATACAGTGAAATAAAGATTGATACATCATCAGTCTCAATGTGTGAGTTTGGAAAACACAAGGCAACGGCAATGAAGACGTGTTCATGCATAAACAAAAACAATATATAGCACTTTTACTCTAAGCCTATAAGGACTGAACATTCTTGTGCGCCGTAGTCAGCAGTGTTCAAAGACTGCTACGTTATTTACATCATTTTCACGGCACAACCACGCCAACTGTCGAAAGGCCTTCCAGTGCATGAAGTCATTTGGGGGGTGTTTTTTTATGTGAATTCACTGTTTAAGAAGCAACTAAAGTTTAGTAATGTATATATATATACATATATATATATATATATATATATATATATATATATATATATATATATATATATATATATATATATATATATATATATATACATATACATATATATATACCGTGTGTCCCAAAAAAAAGTACTCCGGTTTGATTTATAATAACTTCTAAACAAGTAAAGCTATCAAACAGAAATGACTTGCATTAAATAGAGAAAGGACTAACTTAGATTTTGATATATTACAAGTTGTATTTTACTTAAAAATTCACGGAGATATTAATGTTCAAAATCGGGAGCATATTTTGGGATGTGTCTAAATTAGCGAAAATCGGCATGTCAAATATTAACTCCAGCGTTTGTTTGCTTAATGACATATCAGGCTAACTTGTATTTCAGCGAATTATCGTTAGGGTTTGTAAGGGATATGGCGTAGATTTAGACATCTTACATGTAAGTCTTAGCTCATTGTTTCCTGAAATATGAATGTTCGAAATTATGCAAGAATTTAATATTAGGTCTTTACAAACTTAAAAGTACATGAAAGACTGACCATGGAAGGCAGGCGCTTAAATTTTTCTTAAATAGCCTAATTTTTTTATGTTTTTAATGGGTTCAAACAGACTGAGTTGATTATTTCTCGGTTAGAGCAGGATGAATATTATTCTTTATTGAAGGAAATAATATTGCTTTTTGCAAATACACATCACTGTATCAACGCGCTACTATTTTGTTACGTTTTGTTCCAAAAATGTTGGATGTCTCTGGGGAGTTGCTTGTTATGTCTTATGGAGTTGTATGGTTTGATTGTGTTTCATTCTCAGTTGATTCTGAACTTAACAAGATTAAGAAAAGGCAAAAGAGTTTGAGTGTTCTTAACAAGATTTCAGAACTTTGCAGAAGTTAGAAGAGCTTCACAATTCCATTGTGACAGCATGCCCTAATTCAGAACTACGAACGATATCCATGACGATCTTTCGAGATGCAGTGGTCTCATGAAATAAGGAAACGTATTCGTGCTAGGAACACACGCGGATTTCGAACGAATAAATCTTGCTTGTATTTTGTAAATAATAATACTTTGTTTCATAATAAACAATTTGTCTAGTGTCATTTATTTACTGGTAATAGTGCATGTTTCAATCGGGCAAATGTTGATTAATATTTGATACGCCGTTTTTTGCATATTTCAGACACATCCAGAAATATGCTCCCGATTTTAAACATTAATTTCTCCGTGAACTTTAAGTGAAATACAACTGTAATATATCAAAATCTAAGTTAGTCATTCCTCTATTTGATGCAAGTTATTTCTCTTTAAAAACTTTACTTGTTAAGAAGTTATTACGAATCAAACCGGAGTATTTTTTTGGGGGACACCCGGTACATGCACTATGTACAACATGAGATGCTGTACTGTAGCCTGTGTCGCTATATCCGATACACTGATATGGGCGCGAATATTCTAAATGGTCTGTG